TACACATTAAATCATTCATGTAGCTAATGTAATAATACCTTTACTAAAGGATTACATCTAAACCCACCTCAGCCAGAAACACTGTTCCTTTCCCTACTACAATTTTCCTCTTTAAGGGTAGAGCCTTCAACAATAAGAGTGCTACTAGGTCCTAATCTCATTTGATTTGTTTTTAATCTGGCAGTCTCCTTCATACCCCATATACTTTATATTGCTGTTAGAAATAACCTATGATTCAAACAAGACGTTCACTTCCATCACTATTGTAATTTCTAAAATCCACTGTTCTTCCAAGAACAGATGCAGTCAAGAGCATACATGGTGGTCTGTCACCAGGGTCCTCCCTGACTCTGAAAGGCCAATGTTAACATCCTGTTTGATATTTTCACAAAATGTCTCTGAAGAGTTTATTCACATAGTGAGGCACTTGGCCCATAAAGACCACAGCAAGGTTCTTTTCTGCGTTACTCTTGATTACTTTTCCATCTCTCTGATATAAAAGTTTACAAATTCTATAGAGCAAGGGCATAGTGACACTTGCCTTTATATTTATAATATACAGAGTTAAGCCATATATTAGTCATATAATACAGGATAACCATACTAAAATCCACAGACCCAGAGATGCTAAATAACAAGGAGGACCCTAGGGAGGATGCTTAATTCTCATTCAGAAGAGCAAATAGAATAGACACCAGAAGCAGTGGAAGAAAAGGAACAGGACAGGAGCCTAACAATAGTATCCTCTGAAGGATTCCTCCCAGCAGGGGATCAAAGAAGATGTTAAGACTCACATTCAAACTCCAGGCATAGTGCAGGGAGTCTTATGGAAAAGAGGGGACATAGAAGGACCCAGAGGGATCAGGAGCCCTATAAGGAGACCAACAAAGCCAACAAATGTGGGCAGGGGGTCATGCAGAAACTGATGTACCAACCAAGCACCATGCACAGAGAGGACCTAGACCTCCTGCACAGATATAGCCCATGGCAGCTCAGTGTCCATGTGGGTACCCTAGTAAGGGGAGCAGGGGCTGTCTCTGACATTGACTCTGTTGCCTGCTCTTTGATCACTTCTCCCTGGTGGCATGGCCTTCCCAGGCCACAGAGAAAGAGCATGTAGGCAGTCCTAATGAGCCTTGATAGGCAAGAGTAAGACAAAAGGGGAGGAGGGGGTCCTCCTTCTGAAGTCTAAGAAAGGTGGATGAGGGGAAGCAGGAGGGAGGGTGGGACCAGAAAGAGACAGGGAGGGAGCTACAATTGGGATATAAAGTGAATAAATTATTAGAAATAAATTTATATATAAAAATAAAATATAATATTTTAAAAGGATAAAAATGTAAGAACTAACACTGAAGATGGGAGATACTGTTTTGAAAAAAAGGGTAATTAATACTTTGACAAAATTCGCCAAGAGCAGAAGCACTTTCCAAGTTGTTATGTGAATAGGCTCCCTGTGACTTCTCCCTGCACAAACATTACACAGTGTGTGCAGCATTTTATGCACAGCATAATTCAGAGCAGCCACAGAATAGTGATTCAGAGACAGACTGGGAAAACACAATGAATCTGGAGAGCACGGGACTATAGACCTAGTAGCCCTACTTGAGGCGGTCAGCTGACTCAGCAGGATTTGAATTTGAAATTTTGTTTGCCTCGAAAATAGAAAATACCAAAGTTAGATAGAAAAGTCTGTTCTTCCAGGACACTTCAGGTGCCTTTTAACCACAGCACAACATTATCTGCTCTTGGCACATATTTACATATTTAAGTGTGTGATTATTGTTCTCACAGCATATAATTATGTTAGTCAATAAATACTGACATATCTACCTCAGTTTCACGGAGTGAAGAAAATTCAGAAGGATGAGCTGGGGCTCCTAATTAGCTCCTGCTTTCCTAAATTAGAATAATTGAAAGGAACAGGCTAGACCAAGCTTTGACTTGATAATGGAGCAGCCACACTAAACGTAGACTTCAACCTAATTACGAAATTATTTAAGTTAGAGGTCATCCTAGCTATTATTTTAATCATGAACGATTTGCTTTTTATAGGAAAACGATTCTTAAGGAACAATGTCACGTATATGACTGATTTCATGATTTTTTCAACAGTAAAACAATTAAAAATAAAGAACAAAGTCTTTCATTTGGGTTTAGAACATACAGTCAAGCAAAAGTGTAAGCCTTGGGTCCAGCTGTATTCACACAGTTGTCAAAAACATATGTCATTACTGGCTAAGCCTTGATTGCTCTGTCCACGAAGAAAGTGCACTATCTGTGTCTCAGAAGTAAGTTGCCTACACCTTGTTCAAGTGAGAAGCTGTTTGTACGTGCTTCGTGATCCGTAAGCTGCTGTCCACACTGTCAGTGATTATGAGTTTGTTTGTACAGTAAGACTGTTTGAATAGTAAGACCACTGCTGAATAAACCAATCAAAATGCACGATTTAATGGGAAGCATGTGTAGACAGAGACCTAAAGAAGACAGGCCACATCAAGGAGAAACCTTCCAGCAGGGTCTTTCTATGCAATGCATCTTTGGAGGTTCTCTCATTATGCTCTGCTGGGGCTTTGTGCTCTCCCTGTCTGTCTATCTCTGTCCCAACCCCTTCTGCTCTCTCTCTTTCTTCCTCCTTTTAACTACATACTTTGCATATATATTAGGACTTTTAGTGTTGTGTTTTTATGGGTTTATGGGATTCCTGTGTGTGTAATGTGTGTCTCTGCGTCTATGTGTTTCTTGAGCTTTTTCTTCTATTTGTTTGTTTATTTTGTCCTATTCTGGCTTGTCTCCTTATGTTTTATCATACAACATTTTAATATTATTCTTTAGGTATCTGTCTGCTCTCTAAGGGAGGGGGAAGGGTATAGATTCAGATGGGAGGAGAGGTGGGGAGGATCTCAAGTTAGAAGAGGGAAAATTATAATCAAAATATTAAAAGAAAAATATTTTTCAATAGAAGAAAAATAGAGGGGATAGAAAGAAGCCCTCAGGAGTGAAAAACAAAGACTAACCAAAAACTCTGCTTAAAAGCGAGCACAGAAGCATTTTGCAGAATGTGGCCGAGTCTAGTGGGAAGAAATAGACTTGCTATCCTGAGAAACTAGGTATAGTTTCTCTTTGATTATTTGATTGGCTAGAATTATAAAATTAATTAAGGTCGTATGATAATGTAAGTATTATTTCTAAGAATCTTTTCAGAGTTGGTCTTGTTTCCTCAGTTTCTGTTCAGAATGAATTTTAGATTTCCCCTGTTGGAGACCCTTCAAGGACTTTCTACTTTCTCTAACTGACAAGCTAAGATGTCAGTTTAGCAGCAAAACTCATCCACGGCCGCTTAGCCACTACACATCCTTGGTGGAGTGGTTTCCCACCTCCTCAGTTGCTTGCAGGTCCCCCCCAGGCCTGGAACTCAGGCTCTCTCTCCATTTCTTCCAGTGTCAAAATACCATCCAGCCTCCCACTGGATTCACAAGCCTTGGTGTAAGACTGTTCAGATTCTGCCAGTCTAAAAAACTATCGTTCTCTTCCTGTGTCACTGTCATAGCAGCTACAGTTTGTCTCATACCATGACAGGATCTACTGCCCAACTTCTACAGAGGCTTTTGACTCTGCTTCTAACAACACACTTTCCTTTTCCTCTGGGGTCCCCACAAAAGACTCTATACCTGCTCTACATCCAAAGCTCAGCCAATGAATAAGGAATGAAGTACATGTGCACTGCGGCAAGTGATGGAGCCAACACAGATACACATGAGTTTGTCTTTTTTCTGTTTTGCCTTTGTCCCCAACCCAACTCCCAATCTCATATGTGTAGGAAAGGTAATAGGGATGTGTCAAAAAAAGACACATCAATCTTAGATGAAGATAGCAACGAATGATTGACAGCACAGGAGCAGGAACACTGACAATACGGCTCCTGTTCACCAATACGAGTGAGCTACATGTTGATGTATGCAGTGTCAATTAGAAAAGAAAAAGCAGATTAGGGTCAAACAGTGACAAAAGGATCTGCCTAACGTTGACATCAAGAATCCTATTAATTGTTTTCCGAGGCCACAGAACTCCTGCTATAGATTTGACCCTTTCAGTACTTAGCCAGGTCGGGGATACTTTGTAGTGATAAAATACCAGCTTCAGAAACAAAGACTGATAAATGAAAATGCAGAAACATATCCAAGCTCTAAGGTAAGCCAAATTAGGAACAGGATAAACTAACACAGTCAGGATTCTGGTGCCTGTAACCCATTTACAAATTTCAAAGGGTAGGGTGTGGTGGCAAAGGCCTTTAATCCCTGATCTTGAGAGACTGCCCTATGAGTTCAAAGGCAGCCTCGCTTATATAGTGGGTGCCAGGGCTAGCCAAGACCTAGTCTCAAAAAGAGGGAGAAAAGGCGGGAGGGAGAGATGACAGAAAAATTTTAAAAAAGCGATCTTTCTCTTTAGTGTGGAAATCCCACTGTTAACAGTCTCGTGTCCTTTGTAGCACTTGTGATGGCTACTAACGGCAACAACATATAAAGAAGCTTCCTCAACATGTAGCATAAGAAACTCCATTACAAAAGAGAGCTCCTCCCCAGAGCTTTATACAGGTATGCATGCTAAATCATGTATGTATAGATTGCAACAGTTCGTCACCAGATATCCACAAAGAGAGGGTTCCGAAAAAGGGCATGGCAATGAAATAAGCTGCCCTGTCCTATAACACCCCAGCAAAGCACCATGGTGTCATTTTGAAGTTTAAGGAGTGACCACTAGTTCACTAGCACGAGCTGATAGTTTCCTATTCTTAGACTGGTGGGGTATGTCTATAAGGATGCACTTGGAACAGGGTAACGGGGGCTGGTGCTTCATTAATGGGGCATGTCAGATTAGGAGGTGGAGCCTTTCTACACTGGCTTTAAGAAGGTGCAGAAAAGAATGAAAGGCTCTAAGAAACGACTTCATTTTCCAGATAGAGTGGGGATCATGGCAGGAGTGAGGCTGTGGGGAGCACCAACCTGGGAGGGCCGAGGCTTGTAGGGAGAGCTGCACTCCAGATCAGCCAAGATGCTGGTCAAAGAATCGATCTCTGCATCCAGGCTGGATCGCCTTTCCTCCAGGGTCTTGCCTCCAGGATTTCCCTGCTAAAAACATGCACATTCAAATTCAATAAACCTCCACAGGAAACATCATGATTTCAAATTTTTATGCTATAATTTTCTCTTTTCTCCTTTTTTCTGCATGTCTTTTTTTTTTTAAGTTCTTATCAAATCTTAATAAGGTGTGCAGGAAGAAAATTACCACTTTTTGACAGATAAGCAAACAGAAAAAAATCTTGAAATGTTTTTCTCTAAAGTAAGTATACTTAGACATTTTGATGAAGATTTAGGGAAAAGAAATTAATGCCCCAACGCCTGCACTTTAGGATAGGAATAAGTGAGGCCATCTGCACTGAGAAATCATTCATAGTGCTTTACTTGGAGAAGCGATGGTTAAGGAGGGGAGACTGTGTTACATTAGAAACATCAATACTTGGCACCATGAAGCATGAATCTCTTCGTCTCTGGTCAGTGGTAGTAGGGGCATATACATGGGAAGGGAGGTTGAGCACAGCTTGTAAGTAAGTCATGGAGCAGGAAGAGGTAACTTAGGACCCTGGCCATTAAGGAGCACAGGAAGCAGGTGTAGCGAGTTTGAGGGAGGGAGCCAGGAGCAACAGCACTCATCCACTCATGGCCCATGTTACCACCTCTCAAACTAGTAAGAGAAGGGGGAGCAGCTGTACTGCTACAGGCCCCTTTCAGCAACTGTGGGCAGAGCTGGGAAAAACAAGCAAACGGTCTGCCTACAGCTCCAAGCAAAGAGATATACAAGGCGGTGGCCCTGGGGTTTGGAAGAAGGGTTAGGCATTACATTGACAAGCTTTGAAGCAAATATACATTTTCATAGAATAAATGGCATCAGGAACACTCTACCTGAGCTTTAGAAGTTATTTAAACATGGTAAGGCAACAGGAAGAGAGTCTAATATGGTTGTCCCTAGGCAGTCAGGACAAGCTAAGCCCCAACACAACACACCAAGGTCTACATCAGGCCAACCCAACTGGGAAGATTGGCTACATGCTTATGAAAAGTTGAGGATCAGCTCCTTAGATCCTAACCTTGATTAGCACCTCATTGCATATGAACCCTCTTTAAATACGGGCACCAGGTAGCAAATTATCCTAAGGATCCATCTCATTATTTTGTCCCTTGGAATATTCTGTGAGACTAGCCTCTCAATTCTCTCAATCCACTCTGTTTACTCTTCTAATCTTATTAGTCGCCATCTACACATTGTCTCTTATAACCATTTGGGTATGTCTCTTCTCATCCCTATAGAAATGTAAGATCGACGAAAGTAAAGATGTAACTTGTTTTCATGGCACTATTTCCTCGGTCTTGCTCAGGGCCTGAAATGTGCAAATGTTCAATAGGCATAAAAAAAAGTTGATAAATAATAACATGGTCAATACTCCAAGGATTTCCATTTAGTAAACTTATTTGCATTAACATCTTTTGGATAAAGAACATGAGGTATAGTAGGAAGCAGTAAGTATTGTAATATATGATCTAAAAATGAAATCAAATGGTTCAGAGTATGTGTGCCTGTGTGCACATTCATCCAAGTGAGTGCCAGGTGGGATAGCACACATTTCAAAGGCTGGATTTGGGGAACTGAAAGATTGCCCCGGAGCTCTCACCCAAGGCCACACTGGAAAAATAGTGATACAATGGGTAGGTGGTGCTTTTGGTCAGAATCTGAGTTTCAGCCTTACTCAACTTTTTATTTCATATTATTTTATTTATTATTAGGGTGAGAGGTATGTGTGTGCTCTCCTGTGGGCACATATGTATATAGCCACATGCCAGAGCTGGCATTGGAGGTCAGAAAATAACTCTGTAGAGTTGATTCCCTCCTCCGATGTTTAGGTGCATTGTGGGAAAAGACCCACTTCATCAGGCTTGTATAGCAATATTCTTACCCACTGATCCATCTCACCAGCCCTAAATGGTCAAGGTTGACAAGGTTTTGCTAGGGAAATATTAATGTCTCTATCAGAGGGTGTATCTCTACACACAGTGCAAGAGTATGAACATTCTGAATTGTGAAAAGAAAAGATCTCTTTAACTCTTGAAACACAGGGCAATGTTCTGCATAGCTGGCACGAGAGAGGAAAGCTGGGCACACCACTCCACAGGGTGGCTATGGATAATCAAGTGAAATTACTTTTCTGTATGTGCAATCCAAAATTATCATAAGCAGACATTTGATAAGGGCATCCATGCAGACAGATCTCCAGCACAGTAAATCAGCAAGGAACACGGGATTGGAGTCTGGTTAAATGCTTTCCGGAGTCACAGTTTATTCATTTGCAAAGTGAAGAGACTGTCACCTGGCCTGCTTCAGTCAGAGAGCTGTTAAAGACTCGGATAAGAAAGTGGATGGGAACATACTTTGTAAATTGTAAAGTGCTGTAATTATGATGATTTTCATAAACAGTGTTAATTATAGCAACCAGTAACTATAAATTAATAGGCATAATATAGCTATTGTTAATTCTTCGTCTTGAGGTAGGCATCACTCACTAAGTGTTCCCTAGGGGTACCAGCAAAGAGACAGGACATAATCAGTCCTTCAACTCCTGTACTCTACTGTAGCACAAAACACACCAACTGCCTATGGCCTGAGTCACAGGATTCTAACCACAAAGACCCAAGTCACAGGATTATCCTGAGCTATACAGTAAAAGGACTAATTATGAAGTGTGCAACCAGCCCAAGCTTGTAGACCTCTACTGGCTCCGGTCTCCTCTGTGCTTCTGAGAGTTGGGACTGATCCCCGTTTCCCTTTCTCAGAATAGGATGATGCAATTGTACTAACAAGCCCTGGCCTCATTCTAGTGCCTTTTACAGGAACAATCCCCAGCTGCCCGACCTGACCTCATAGAATAGCTTTGTGTCTGTATTTTGATCCTCATTATGAACAAGGTACAGATGCTTTCTCCCTCCCAGGTACCTCTTTTGTATCTTGGCTCCATCCTGGAGTTCTGCCCAAGTTCCCACACAAAGCCTTGTCTCTACACTACTCCCAGTACCTCAGATTAATGTCCTCTCTTGCTCTTCATAAAACAGTCCTAAATGCAGCAGAAAGAATCCTACATTCTTACCGACATTCTCACTATGGTTCTGCCAGTCATTTAATGGTTAAAAAGCTTACCAGAGGCCAAATAACAACTAGGAAAACTCTCCTGATACTTTGCCTAATGTTTGCTCTAAATAACTAAGGCATTCAAAGTAGCCACTGTAATAACAGTTTTCACACTCTCCAGTAATAACTAGAAAGATCCCATTGTGTAAGTCTGGCTTCCCTGAGAAACCATGCCTGTGACAGAAGACCTGCATGCATGTTATTTGGGGAATCAATCCCCAAAACTAGTGCTGAGGGAACAGAAAGAGTGACAGCCAATTCCAGAGTTGAGCTGAGATCATCAGCAATGTGGACAACTGGTCCATCCTAACAGAAACTAATTAAAGCAACAGAAATTCTACTAATATATCTATCCCCAAGAGTCAATACTTCATTACCTTCGCAGTACGTTTCTATAAATTCCACTTGCTGCTGCAACTAAACTCTTGATAAAATGTTGCCCCCTAACTGATACCACCTCAGCCTACATGATCTTCAAATGCCCCAATTAGTATCATACTGGGGAAATTCAGAATGTTGGCAGTAACACATACACGCATATTTACACTGTTTTCATGTTTTAGCACTGGTCTATCCTAGCATTCCTTTCAAAGGCCTCTCACTACAGTGAAGAATCTGTTTATTCCCCTTTCCTTCTAGCCCAGACCTGTTTTGTTTGTCAGAACAGGCTATCTTATAAAAACTCAATCAAATGGATTTACCTGATTCTTAGATTAAGATCACACAAGCTGGATAGAAATTACAGTCACGACACATGACTTTCTAACTGTATCACACCACGAAGCTTGTCAGCTGACAAAAAAAAAAAAAATTACATTTTTTGATTCCAACCTCAATGGTTGACTTAATTCAGGCAGTTTCCACACAGCCTTTACTACTGTAAAAGTATACTAATTATTTACAAGTTAATATCTGAGAGAGGCAATATTTTGAAGCTCTGCCAACAATCTTCCCACTAAAGGCCTCCCATTCAAGGGTTATAGCATCTATGCTCGGGCCTTGCCTGAACTGATGCCGAGATCACTGGCTTTGTACCAGTCAGGCCATTTATTATTTATCAATGGAAATGAACTGATCTTGTTTTGCATAGCATAAAGTTGTAGGCATTCATTTCAGTGGGAAGTGTAAGAACAGGAGGATTAGTGATTAAATCATATTGTTGGAGGTCTCTTTCTGTGCTAATGAAAACAAGAGAGAACAGAATCTCTCTCTCTCTCTCTCTCTCTCTCTCTCTTTCTCTGTGTGTGTGTGTGTATAAACAATTACAGAAAAAGAGCCCCTGAATTTAAGAGAAATAAAAAGGTGACATGTGGCAGAAGTCAAATGTAGAAAAAAAAAGAGGGAAAAAATGAAGTAATTATTTTGTAATTTTAAAAATTAAAAACGTTATTTGAAAGTCACACTGGGAGCCTAATTTCCAAAAATTTTAAATATTATTTGAAAAAAAAAAAAGGTCATGTGGGAAACTGGACACCTAGAATATTACCCAACATAAGACATCACACCCAGGATATGAAAGTCACAGACATTCAGAAGCCCCAGAATCTGACTAAGCATGCCTGCACAACACAATAGAGAGACTTAAACAACCTAGGTATGAATGTAACTGCTCAATAACAGAAGTGAAACAAACCAAAACCTTCTCAATGAAAGTACGGTGAAATGTGCTATGTGGTAAAATGTAAATCATACTTGAGATATCTCAGGAAACTCCTTAGGCAAGTCAGGTGGAATGCCAAATGGTTTCTGACATGTGACAACCTGAATTTCACTTCCGGTGCTCAACACGAAAAAGAGAACACCTTCCCAGACAACTTCAGAATAGAAGACAATTTACCTTAGGGAATCCAAAAACTTAGTAACACAAACAAAACATGGTTATACATGTCATTGT